CATTTTACAGATGAGGAAACTGAGGCAAACAAGGTTGAGTGACTTGCCTAGGGTCACACAGCTAATAAGCGTCTGAGGGTGGGTCAGAACTCAGGAAAATGAGCCTTCCTGACTCCAGGCCCACAGTTCTATGGACTATGGTAACACCTAACTGCCTTGCATCCTTAATAGCTAGAAGAATATTCAGTGCTCATGGCTAGGTCGTGCCTATATAATAAAAATTACAGTGCTATCAAAGTTAATTTACCCTTTTAACACTATACCAATCAAATTATCAAAGGGATACAACTTGATATAGAACTTGATAAAATAATAACAAATTTCATTTGGAAAAACAAAAGATCCAGAATATCAAATGGTGAAAAGAAGTAAGGACAAAGTGGGGATTCCAGACCTCAAACTATATAATAAAGCAAGAGTCATCAAAACCATCTGGAAGTGGTTAAAGAAAAAAGGGAGAGGGAGCAGCTAGGTGGCGCAGAGGATAGAGCACTGGACCTGGAGTCAGGAGGACCTGAGTTCAAATCCGGCTGCAGGCACTTGACACTTAGTAGCTGTGTGGCCCTGGGCAAGTCACTTAGTCCCAATTGCCTTATCCTCCACCGCCCTCCCCTCTCCCCCCCCAAAAAGAAAAGAATAAAGGGAGAGGTGACAGGAGTAGAGCAGACAAAGGAGTCAGAAACCCTAGGAGTCGTTATAACATTGGGCTTTGTGACCTCGAAACTGCCGTGACAGTCTCCCCTTAAGGGACTCTGTAAGCTGCAGAATATACTTACGGAAAATGACTGCCAAGAATCTTCTTCAGAGGTTAGTACAGCTGATAATACTTCATCTACCATCAGCTTGTTTTTTTCTCCCTGACAACAAACCTCCCAAACAACATTTTGCCTGCCCTCTGGTATGTAAGTTGGCCTGCTCCCGGGGAGGGGGCACCCAAGGGACCCCTCCCTCACAAGGGCCCTTTGGAGCACACCCTCCCCTGCAGGAGGCGCGCACCCTCCCTTCCTGCCAGAGCACCTCCTTCTGCTGAATGGACCCATATCTCGGTGCTGCCCTCACGTGAATCATCCTCTAGGTAAATATGCATGCCCAGCCGAATGTCGGGAGCCCTTTTCCTCCTCATCCTCACAGCTTGCAATAAAGCTTTGCATTTGTACCGAGTTGTTTTACCCGAGGTTCTCAGCATCTGCTGTCATTAAGGGGTTGTTTTCCCAAGGGCTCTGGCTGGCCCACGGGTCTCTCCTTGGACGTAAAATGGGTACCTAGCCAACGACTTACCCTAAGGACAGCCACACCTATCCTGGGGGAACGTGGCCCTGTGAGCTCAGCTGTAGAAAGGGATGGTCAATAGGGGAACCTCCCATCCTAGGTACTAGGGTTGCAAGTACAAGGAATGAAACCATCTCCCCAAGCCTGCTGTTCTAATCAGGAGAGACAACCAGGGCCTATGAAACCCATCCAGAGATACAGCATGAATACAAACTATAATACAGTATAAACCGGAAAGAGAGCAACAATGTAACCCAGAAGCTTGGGACAGAGGGTGACCACACAGCAGAGCTGAAAGGGAGGGACAGTTAGGAGGGGGACAGGGGAAGGGAGGGCTTTCCAGGCAGGGGGAACGGCCATGGCAAAGACCTGGTGATGGGAGATGGAGTACGTTGTCTAAGGCATAGAGAGAAGACCGGGTTGGGGGGATTGCAGAAGGCAGATGCTAGCTGTAATAAATAATACTAACAATTAAGTAGCACCTACTATGTGCCAGGCACTGTACTAAGTGCTTCACAAATGTTATCTCATTTGATCCTCAGAACAACCCTGGGAGGAAGGTGCCATATGGCAGCCATGATTATATAGAGGAAGAGGTCCAATCACTGCCTTCAGGAAGTTTACAGTCTAACCACACACATGCTCACATGCACAAAGCATACCCCAAATAACTTGAAGGGTACTAGGAGCTGTGAGGCCAGGAAAGGACTCAGCCATTTGAGGGAGCTCTGAAGGACCCAGGGAGGTGTGCACTCCAGGCACAGAGTTCAAAGACAAGGAGGTGGGATGGAGGGTGTAAGGGAGGGCAAATGGGCCAGTCTGGCAGAGAGGCTGAGGGTGAGCAGCCATCCTAGGCTGGCAAGAGAGGACAAAGCCAGGCTGTAAAGGGCTTTCCCTGTCAAACGCTAGAGGCAATGATAGGGAGCCAGGGAGCCTTCTGCCCTGTAGGAGGGGTAAAGAATGGCTTTGGCAGCCGGGTGGCTGAAATGTTCAGTAAGAGGCTATTGCAATTGTGGGAGTGAGGCGATGAGACTTGGGCTAGGGTGGTACCAGGGTGAGTAGGGAGAAGGTGCAGATGCTAGAGATGGTGTGGGGGGAGGAACGGAAAAGCACCTGCACATAAATCCGAGGCCTCCAAGCGGGGGGTCCAAGAAGGAGGTGGTGCTCTCCACGGAAATAGGGGATTGCCTGTAGGATCTTTGATCAGGGCTTACAGGGTAGGGACTGGTTTGTGGAATTACTTTGTATCTGCCATGACTGGCACACAGTAGGCCCTCAATCATTGCTTGTCAAATGGATGCTGAAGAAGGAGGTGGGTGGGGAGAGAGGAAGGGAAGCGCCAGTATGTGGGAATGTGAAGGGCTCCGCAGTTGTGGATAAGCCAAGTTTGAAATAAGGGTGACAGTATCATCCCCACTTTACTGATGAAAAGATTCAGGCTGGAAGAGGTTAAAATAGGTGTTGAAGGGGTAGCTAGGTGGTGCAGTGGATACAGCACCTGGAGTCAGGAAGACCTGAGTTCAAAATCGATCTCAGACACATGATACTAGCTGTGTGACCCTAGGCAAGTCACTACTCCTGGCTTCTTTCCTCATTCACAGGGGGATTATGGGTATCTGAGAGGCTCGGGCCACAGAGCCAAGAGCCCTGGATTTGGCAACAGAGCTCTGGGTTCCGATCCTGGGGCTGCCCTTTACTGTGCCTGGGTGACCTTGGAAAAGGGGCTTCCCCTTCTGGTCTACAGTGAGGGGGGTCAGCCCAAAGGCCTCTGGGTCCCCTTTCAGTTCTCAACATTCCATAAGCCTCCTTCCCCGGCCCGGCCCAGGCAGACGTTACAGCAAACAGAGGAAGCAGCGTGTCCGTCCCTCTGGGTGCCCCTCCAGACTCACCTCCCCTCTCTCCTGAGAAGAAAAGAAATGTGCCAAGTGCGTTCCAGATTGGAAGTTCACTTACCCTTCCTACAGAGAGAGACCTGGGGGATGAAAAGGGCAGGCCTTTGGGTCACCCTCTGTGGAGGGCCTGAGAGTCCTCTGCGGACCTCCAGCAGGGGACCTTTGAGATCATTTCAGTCAACTCCCTTATTTTACAAAGAAGGAAACTGAGGCCCAGGGAACGGGAACATGGTCAGGCTTCCGTCTCCTGGCACTTAGGTAGTACAGTGGGCTGAGCACTGGGCCTCAGGTCAGGAAGACCTGAGTTCAGATCCAGCCTCAGACACATTAACTGTGTGAACCTAGGCAAGTCTGAGGCAAGACAGCCTTTGTCTGTCTCAGTTTCTTCATCTGTGAAGTGAGGATAATACCACTGACCTCCCAAGGTTCTTGTGACATGATAATTATAAAGTGCTTAGCGCAGTGCCAGGCACACAACGGGGACTTAAAGGATGCCTGTTTCTTCTTCTGTCAGGTCTGGGATCTCTTCCATTGCATTACCTTGCCTCAGAGGAAGGGCAGGGCAGGGCAGGGCAGGGCAGGGGATTGTAGGGGCTGCAGGGCCTATGGACAGACTCAGCCACTGGCCCTAGCTCTCTGCTTCAACCGCCCCAGAGGAAGGAAAGAGGATCAGAGCCTGTGGGCAGCCTCCGGACTCACGGGGCCATCAGGCTGGGGTCCTTTGGACCCAAGTCCATTCAGGCTCACCATGAGGCCTTTCTCGATTGCCTAACCAAGAAGCCAGAAGTAAATCATCTCTTCCGTTCGTGGGCCGGCCAGCTGACCGAAAATTCGTTCACAGCGGACCCCAGCTACTTCTGCTACTCCCAGACCCCCAGCCGGCTGGACCGACCGAAAGAACGAAGGGCGGGGAGGGGGCAGGTGCACAGGTGGGCGGAGGGCTACAGGGCCCTGATCCCGCCCCCTCCAAGGTGAGCGCGAGCTCCCGCCTCCCACCTCTCTCTCTCTGGGCCAGACCCCAGACCCTGGGGCGGGGTACTGTTTGGGGAAGCTGGGCCAGCAGCCACGCGCCGGGGCCCGGATCGCCCTGGGGCTGGGCTTGGGGGGCCCCCGGGCCGCTGCCATTGGCCTGCCGGGTTGGCAACGATTGGGAGAGGCCAATTGGAGAAGGAGGAGGATCGAGCCGAGGAGGGGAACGGGGGCCGCGTGGGGATGGGTCAGGGGCGAGGCCGCCCCCAACGCCCGCCGGGACTCGTGCAGCAGCCCGCTGCCTAAGCCTCCTGCACCGCCGCCCCGACAGCCACCTCCCTACCTCCCGCCCCGGCCCATGCCCCGCCCCGCGCGCGCCCAGCGCGTGGGGATGAAAAAGGGGGCCGGGAGGAGGACGCCTGGACAGCGCCCAAGCCCAAGGGGAGGGGAGGGGAGGGGAGGGGAGGGGAGGGGGGAGCAGGGCGGGAGCGCCCGCCCCAGCGGGGCTCGGCACGCTTGGCTCCAAGGGGGGAGGGCGCTGGGGCTCCATGTGCATTTAAAAACAAGACACCCGGGCCCCGGCCCGGAAAAGCGCCGCAACGACAGAGCCAGACCGCAAGCAGTAGAGCTCCCGACGGCCGCCAACAGCGCGCGCGGGACGCGAGAGCCCCACGCGCTGCCCTGAGGGGCGCTGCCACTTGCCTGCCCCTTCCATCGCACCACCCGGCCGTCCCGCCCGCCTGCTTCCCGCGGGCCCCAGCTGGGCGCTGCGTCTCTCCGCGTCCGGCCACAGCGGGTAGCCATCGTCCGCGAAGAAGGTGGCCTCGGCAGCCGTGGCCGGGCCCTCTGCGCAGACGGGCCAGATCGGACATGGACAACTGCGGAAGAGCGCGGAGCCAGCCGGCGCCCCCCGCGCGTCCTCTCGCCCGCAGCAGCCCCCTGGCCTCCGGCGGTCAGAGGCTGCAACCCTGTGCGGCCTCTGGTGCCTACTCTCCGTCCGGTACGGCGCCTCCCCACGCGTCCCTGAGGGCTGCCCGGCGGCGGCGGCCAGCGTCCCCGGAGCTGCTGCGCTGTAAGCGGCGGCCGGCTCCGGGGCCGGGGACGCCGGGCCCTCTGAGCCTGCAGCTGCAGCCTCAGCCTCCGCGGCAGCAGCCTCAGCCTCCGCGGCAGCAGCCCGGGCCCGACGCGAGCGCGGGGGTAGGAGCGGCGGCCGTGGCACGGCGCAACGAGCGGGAGCGCAATCGCGTCAAGCTGGTGAACCTGGGCTTCCAGACGCTGCGGCAGCACGTCCCCAACGGCGCAGCCAGCAAGAAGATGAGTAAGGTGGAGACCCTGCGCTCGGCCGTCGAGTACATCCGTGCCCTGCAGCAGCTGCTGGCGCGGCAAGACGCCGCGGGTGCCACTTTCCCCGAGAGCCTCCTGGGCGCGGGGGCCTCTGGCCCGGCAGGGTCCCCGCAGCCCCCCGGGGCTGGGGCCCCGTGCGGGGGCAGCGGGGGCCCCTGCCCCTATTCAGGCTCGTATGCGTCGGGCTCCTCCTCCTTCGACTCGTCGTCCCCTGGCCGAGAGGGCAGCTCGGTGCCAGGCTCCCCTCGCTCGCCGTACTCGTCAGACGAGAGCGGTTACGAGGGGGCGCTGAGCCCCGAGGAGCAGGAGCTGTTGGACTTCACCAGTTGGTTCGGGGGCTACTGAGAGGGCGTGTGCGCCGCCCCTCCTCCCCCCCCCCAGGTAACCAGGAGCTGTGGGCAGACGGAGACTCGGCCGCCGCCCCCTCTGATACCCCGCCCCCCACTCCCACACCCCGGCCCAACGCGCCCTGATTGCCCTGCACACACACATACGCGCGCGCATACACACACACACACGCATACGCACACGCATACACACACGCAAACACGCACACATACACACGCGCGCACACACACACGCATACGCACACACATACACACGCGCGCATACACACACACACGCACACACACACGCATACACACACGCGCATACACACGCGCGCACACACACGCGCATACGCACACACATACACACACGCGCACACACACACACACACACACACACACACACACACACACACGCCCCGGGCAGGAGAGCCTCAAAGAAGCCGTGGCTAGACCGGCCTTTGTTTGAGCCGGGCGATCGCCAAACTTCCTTTTGCCGGTTCCGTCGGCCCGGGGGGAGTGGGGTGCCCCCCCCCGGCTCCCCGCTTCTCCCAAACCGCTCCCTCGGGCTAAGAGCGCTGAAGGCGGGTGACTTTGCAATGCAAATGATCTGCGGAGGGAGGCCGAGACAGGAAGGTGCGCGGGGAGAGGCCCTGACTCACAGAAAAGCTGAGCCCAAGGTTGCCTTTGAAGCCCCCGCCTCCAGCTCCGGGCCCAGGCGGTGAAACGCCGAGTCAACAGTGCCGGTGAAACTGCCGAGCTAGTTGTTGGGAGCGGGGGAGGGGGCGGTCTGGCCCGGGCTGCACCCGCCGGCTCTGGGTGCCCTGCGGGAGGAGGGGGAGGAGAAGAGCCGCCTGCTTGGCTGGGGGGCCCTGGGGTGGGGCCGAGGCCGGCCCAGGAAGAACAACTGGTTCTGCCGGCTGCGCTTTATGGCGCCTGGGTTGTTCCCTCTCCTTTCCTAACCTCCCCCGACCCCCCGCAGCAGCACTGAATGCCGAGAGCACCCAGTCAGTACCTGAGGGCCTTCCTTGCTTCCCTACCTGTGAAGGAGCTGCAGAAAGCCTGACCTTGCTACCTGCCAAAGATTCACCCTGGCTGCTGGACGGCGAGGGACCCAGGAAGCCTGTGCTTTAAGCCCGGTCTGCCGGGGCCGGCCGCACACGGGGGGGGGGGGGGGGGAAGGTGGACAGGAAAGGGGACAGAGAAAGGTCGGCCTTGAGCGACAGTCTGGTGTACCTGGAGGCTTCCTTCTCTCTTCCTGCCCCCAACTTTCTATGTTAATATTTCAAGGGGGATGAGTGTAATCACCCTTGCCTCTCATTAGAGGGAAAGGGTTCTGAGAACAGTCTTTTTTTTTTTTTTTTAATGAGTGGAATTGAGTCCCAGAGAACGATGTCAAGATTTTGTGCCAACGAACTGGAGCTTGGGAAGCCCATAAACGTGATCGTGGAGGGGGCTTCCCTCCCCCGGAGGGGCTGCCCCCCCCCCCAAGCGCTCTGGCTCCTGCGGCAAGCTGACTGGCCTGGCCCTGGCTGCCTTCGATGAAGGCTGGATTGAAGGCACTGGGCAGATGACCTTGCCTGAGAGACTGTCTGCCCCGTACATAAGAATTACCCTATTTTATGGAAAGTGGATTTTATAAATAAAACAGAATCTATTTATAATATGACTGTAAAACTCAGTGCTGGCTCTGAAGGAGGAGTAGAAACTTTGTCCCGGGGCAGGAAAGGTGGACAGTCTCCCTTTGGTGCCCATCAGACAGATGGGAAAGCTGAGATGCTGAAGTGAGCCCTGGGGCCCTGTAGTAGGTGGAAGTGGGCTCCTCTTAAGCTTGGCCTAGGACAAGAGACTCCTAGCTCCCAGGAGGAGGTTGGCCAGCCCTCGCGGGAGGGGGGGGGAAGGCATGGGCACTTTCCGACCTGGACAGATGGCACAATACCAAGTCCAGGCTGAAAAGAATGGCCAGAGGGCCCCTGACCCCTTCCGTAGGATGGAGGGGAGGCGGGGCAGGGTAGGTATGAGGCCCTTCCCCTCCCCCAGCCCTGGCCAGGCTAACCCCCTCTCCCTCCCTCTAGCCTGATGAGTAGGCTAAGAAACTAGGCTGCCTTTGACGGTCCTGGAGCAGCTTTCCTTTGGGGAGGGGACAGGGCAGCTGCTAGCCAAGAAGCCCCAAGGCTGCTGACCCGGGAGGAGGCTGCTTGGTCCTTTCCCTGGACTCCAGCCTTGCCCGACGAGCTTTTGGGCCCAGCTACTGGAGGCTTTTCCGAGCAGTTCAACCTACCTCCCACCGCACGGTGTCTGGGGCCCGCCGACCAAGCGGCTGGAGTTAGGGCTGAGCTGGGGTGTTGCCGGCATAACCATTAGCAAGGAGCGCCCAGGAATCCTAGCCCCGGGCAGCGTCGGGAAGAGCCCCAGCAGGCTGAGGGCGGGGCGGGGCCGGCAGCCCAGCGGAGGAGGTTCTGCCCAAACCTCTCGGGTCGGCCGGGGCTCACACGCAGCTCTGGGCTGGGCCCCTGCAAGGGCACGGAGAATGAGCGGCCTTCTCGGCCCTTCTGCCCGACTCCTCCACGCGGGGAGCTGGCCAGCGCCCCTCACACGCTCTCCGCTATTGCTTTCTCGTCTCCGGGCCGAGTTCCCACCGAACTAAGTTCTCCGTCCATCTCACAACTCCGCTAGCCTCCTTGAGCTGGCCGTCCTGCAGACATCTGAGACTCGACACATCCAAAGCGGAATCCGTTTTCTGCCCCCCCCCCATCCTCCTCTCTTCCTCATTTCCCTATTACTGAGGAGCGAGCCACTGTCCTCTCAGGAAGCCAAGCTCCCAGCCCAATGTGTCCTCAGTGCCGCTCACCCTCCATACCCAATGGTCGCCGAGGTCTGTGCGCTCTGCCTTCGGAACGTCTCCCGCTAGGCTCGGCTCTCCCGGATCTTCCCACCTGCCTGGGCCGCTCTCCTCCCCTCCCTCTTGGAGTCTTCGGAGCCGGCTCGTTGGCTTCTCCCTGCCACAAGTCTCTCCCCACTCCAATTCCTCCTCGGTGGGCTGCCAACCCACTTATCCTCTTCAGGCCAGTAACCCTGGCCTCTCCCTGCTATTCCGTCTCTCCAGCTCCTCTGATTTTCTCTGGCTGTCCTGGCCTTGCCACATTCTCCCTGCCCACCCCTGCTTCCTGGCTTCCATGTTCCTCCAAGCCCCCTCCAAGGCCCCCTGCACAGGAAGCCTCCCTGTCTGTCTCAGCAGAAGACCTCGTGTTGGCCCGGTCTGTAGCTGCAGGTCGTCAGGTTGTCTGCTTTGTGGAGCTTTGAGGGCAGGCCCTGGCTTCTGCCTTTCTGTGTATCCCCAGTGCTTGGCCCGGTGCCCAGCACACAGTAGGTACTTAAGCAATGTTTACTAGCTGACAACCCCACCCCAGGTGGTCTTGCTCTCCTCCTCCCCCTCCTCAGACTTCTCCTATCTTTTTGCTCCCAGAATTCCTTATCCGTCGTGAACTCATTCAACAGGCATTTATTAAGCACCTACTCAGTACCAGGCCCAGGGCTTTGTGCCGAATGGTGGTGAGGACCCAAAGAATGTCCTGGAAGTGTTTTCATTTCAGAGTCAACAGGAGAGGTGGGCTGGAATCCTGCAAGGCCACAGAATGGAGAGAGTGAAAAGATGACAAGTGTCTCCCACCAGGGCCCGGGCCGGGACTGGGATTTCACTGATTGGAAGCATCTCCAAGATGAAGGAATTTGAATTGGGCACCCCTCTTCCAGGCTTGCTCTGTGTCCTACAGCTCCATCGTCACCCTACCCCCCTCCTCTATCTCCTCTTTCTCTCTCTCTCTTTCTGTCTCTCTGTCTCTCCATCTCTGTCTCTGTGTGTCTCTCTGTATCTCCCCCGTCTCTCTGTCTCTGTCTCTCCTGTGTCTATCACTAAAGACCTGAGGCTGGGGTCAGGCCATAGTCCACTTCTCTCCCAGCTCTCTCTTGTGGAGAGAGCATCTTTCTAATGTGCTTCCTGAGTCTTACAGTCTGATGGAGGTAGCATCTTCACTATTCTTGCCACTTAGATCTCTTACAAATCTGGGGAACCAGAACAAGGCAGGTGTAACTCTAACCAAGAGCCATAGTGTGTGACCCACATGACACCTGGGGATGGGCAGCCTGGCTCAGGACAGATTGCTGGGGCCTGGACAGGAATCATCATACAGGCATTCAACCAATCGGCCTTGGTTTCAGAGAGTCTGGGCTTCCAAACCTGCCTCTGTGACACTGGGCAAGAGATGGATGCTCCCCAAGCCTCAGTTCCCACATCTGGAAAATGGGAGCAATAATGCTTGAGGAGGGGTGGCATGGAGCACCAATGTAAATGAATTTCTCTGGAATTCCGTTTCCTAATCTGTAAGATGAGGGAGTTGGACACAGCCATCTCTAAAGATCCCTCTCAGATGTAAACTCTAGGATTCTGATAGGTGGGGTAGGGCTTCAGCTGGGCCTGTCTAGATTGAGGGACCGGAGCCAGGCAGGTGAAATGTAGGGTGGTGAATGACATCCCAGCCCCAGGGAAGCCCCAACTCAATTGGACCGAATTGATTTAGAGCTGGCATAGACAAGGATTAAGCCAGACCTTTGTACTTCTACGAAGAAAGGGTTTGCGAACTTGACCCCTGAACAAGATTGCAGGGGAATGTTTAAGCTCCTGAAGAAAGCAAACTTCATTCAAGTCCTCAGGACACTTTAGAAGTGCCCAAAGCCTTTGCTAAATGTGGGTATTATCTATTTCTTAAAGCAGATCCTTCCAAGACTTCCATCTTGTTAGCCCCAAAGGGACTTAGAGGTGTGAAAAGGTTGTTGTGTGTTTTTTAATCATATTTTTCTCTACAAATATTCAGGACTTTCAACCTGTCATTAATTCTGATCCAATGCTTTCGCCAACATTAGTTTAGGAGACATCTACTCGGTGTGGTCGAGGGAGAGAGTGCTGGATTTGGAGTCAAGACCTGAATTCAAATCCTGCTTCAGATACTTACTAGCCTCATCCTCTACTCTCTCTCCACCTCAGGTTCCTCGTCTGTAAAATGGGCACAATGGCTCCTACCTCACGGGGCTGTTGGGAGGCTCAAGTACCTAAAGATGCCCCGTAAATGAGAGCTGTTACTATTATTTATTCCTAACAAACGTGGTGTGATTGCCGTCCTGCGCTGCCCGGGACGCAGGCTTGGAGGTGAGACCTCCACGGGTGATGGGTTGTCTCGGCCCAGCCTGAGTGCACAGGAGGATGTGGAGGTCAGAGAAGCTGGCATGGTCTTGGGCTGGGTTTCACAACAGAGTGTCCCAGGTCAGGGAGGGATGGGCCCCCCATGCAGTGCCCTGCTCAGACCATGGGGGGAGGGGCCACAGTGTAGCAAGGCCATCAAGGGCCTGGACAGGGCCCAGCAGGGCAGCCAGGGCCTCCGAGTGGAGATGGGGAGGGGTCTGGAGAGGCAGGGGCGAAGAGGCAAACGCTGTTCTCTAGGACTGGAAGTGGGGGAGGGGGTTTGTCCCGAGCAGTGGGGTGGGGGGTTAGAATTCAAAGAGGTGAATTTAGACGGGAAGTCAAGAAAACTTCCTGAGACTTGGTGCCTCCCAGACGTGGGACGGGCTGCCTTCGCAGGTAGTGAGCACCTGGGCACTGGCAGCCTGCAGAGGAAGGCTGGATGCCCACCTGGTAGAGGGGCACTTGGCATGAGCTGGGCTGGATGCCTTCAGAGAATCCTTCAGCCACCGGACTTTGCAGCGGGAATCTCAATTCGACTTCCTCCTCCTGGGAGGGGCAGAGAAAGGCACTGCCCAGCCCTCCCCCAGTGTCCCCGGGACCCCAGCCCAATGTGATAGCCCCTGTTTCCTCCTACTCTTGTTCAGGCCCTGGTGGAGCTTGGAGCTACTGTCAGTGCAAGCGCATGACGCCCTCGCCCCAGGGCCCCTGGGTACCTTGACAAAATATAAATAAACTCAAATTACATAAAACAGGACAACATGCCCTAACAACTGTCCCTGAGCCAGCAGGGAGAGAAACGCAGATTGCAGCCCGAAGGAAAAGGAGGGAGCCATGTGAGCTCTGCTCTGGCTCCCCACAGAGCCCCCGAGTGACCTGGAAATCCTAGAGCAAAGCGGCC